TGTAACTTCTATCATTATATTATCATCCTCATCTCATCTCATGTTCTACTTTATCTTTACAATAGTTAATATTCTTAAATAATCTATATTTTTAATTATAAATTTCATAAATTTCATAAATTAATCAATTCTAATCTATTATTTGAAAAACTAATCAATTCTAATCAATAATTTAGAAAACTAATCGATTATAATTAATTATTTGAAAAAATTATCAAATATGATCGCTCATTTTGAAAATATAATCGATCAGAATCTGATTTCGCTCGAGCGAGATTAGAGTCGCTCAAGCGAAATACAACCCGAGAATGCCAATTTTGTGCAGGGGCGTTTCGCTCGAGCGATTTTATTTTCGCTTGAGCGAATAACACTTCTAATAGCGGTTAACGCTTAACCGCTATCTAAAATATGATTTAGATAGCGGTCAACCCATAACCGCTAGTGTGTTTGAGGGGGATGTACCAATGTGGAGGAATTCACACTTGTGAGGGAGATTATTAGGAAATACAAGTGTGATTCTAAGTCCCACATTGGGTAAGAATGAGAAAGTTGAGCAACATATAAGGAAGTATGACCCATAAACCAAGGCATTAAGGTTTTGAGTTGAGAGTGATGTCAATCCTTATGTGAGTTGGGCTCTTATCTTATTGGTGTGTTTCTCCCCTGTGAATCCCTCGAAAGACCCAACAAGTGGTATTAGAGCCAAAGATTGATCGGCAGTGGGTAAGAGTGGTCTTTGTATCGAAGTCTTCTTGACAGAGTGGGTCAGGTAAGCGTGTCCCATTAGAGTGAATGGCGGTACATGGAAGGACTAATGATGAGTTTGAGGGGATGTACCAATGTGGACGAATTCACACTTGAGGGGGAGATTGTTAGGAAATGCAAGTGTGATTCTAAGTCCCACCTTGGGTAAGAATGAGAATGTTGAGCAGCATATAAGGAAATATGACCCACAACCCAATATCTTAAGGTTTTTGGTTGAGGGTGGTGTCAATCCCTTATATGGGTTGGGTTCATGTGTCATTGATGTGTTTCTCCCCTATGAATCCCCCTTCGTAAGACCTAACAAGTTTAAACTCCTGTAACTTCTGCAGTTTTTCCTTCTCATCCTTAAGTTTTTCAATTTCACAACTATGTTAAGTTCTTCATCCTTTTAGGAAGGGCTTTCTCTTTCAAAACTTTTTTTTGCATTTTTTGTCTTTGTTTAAAGATGATGCAAATTCTAGAAAGATCTAGAAAATAAAATTCTAGATGCTACTAGAATTAGGAACTTCATATGAGTAATATCTAGAATCCTTAGAAGATTCTAGAAATGTTAGAAAGAAGAAGATAGATAATTCTAGAGTTAAGAAAATTTAGAATTATCTAGAATATTTAGGAGGTGGTGGATCAAACCTATAAATAAGCAATGTCACTTAAGTAATGGGTGAAAAAACTAATACAAACTCCTACATATCTTGTAACACTTCCAAGATCAATTATTATCTTCTCTCATACAAACATTCTCCTATTTGTCCACCTCTTTCTAAAAACTATTTTCTACACAAATCTCACTACTAAACATCAAATCATTTTTCCTATCCTTCCTAAAATACTAATAGTCTTTCTCATTTTATTTTTCTTGTATATTTTGATTTGAGTTTTGGTGGAATTTTCAAGCAGTGGATCAATTATGTTATCCTCTTTAGATCAATGATGTAATCATCTTTGGATCAATGATGTAATTATCTTTGGATTAATGATGTAATCCTCTTTAGATCAATGATGTAATCATCTTCCACCGTTTCACATAGGTCAAATCCCTCAATTGCATTCTCATTCTCATAGACCATAAATCATACTTTTCGTCATCAAAAATTGAAATAACGACTTGTAAAAAACTTTTTTCTCTTTTATTCTTTTAGTAAGAACTAAAGTCTCCTTCCATTCTTTTAGTGAGAAGTAAAGCTTCCTCCCATTCTTTAATTGAGAACTAAAAGAATTTTTAAGATTTTGTATACTATTTTTATATATGAAATATATTTAATATAGGTATATATTTTATCTATATATAATGTATAAATATAACAAAATATTAAATATTAATAATATCTCAATCATAACTCTTTCAATTAAAATAAGAATCTAATAATTTTTTATCTTTTTCTCTTAAAAGTTGATAAATTCATAACTCTTGTCTTGGAAAATTACTCTTGTGATGTGGTTTGCTACGTGGATTCGGTTAGCTTCTTTTCTTTATTGTTTTCCTTTTTCCTGCACTTTATTTATAAGTTTATTTATGCAAACGCCAAATCTGTTGATACTCTTGCCATCTTTTTAATGTGCTAGAAATATTATATGTAAGTTGTAATTTTACCTAGCAAAGTTATATGTGTTTAATATACGATGGCTCAACTAGTATGCTGTAGAAAATTGAATATGATATTCACTTCATTAGTAATGTATTTTGATTTTGATTACAACCCTTGACATCGAAAGCTATTTAAAAGACTGGAGGTAGTCAGATAGTTTATATGATCTCTAAAGTTAAGATGGTTCCCATATGTTATTTTCACCTGATGCCAATTTAATTTTTCCCTATTTTCTATTTACATTGTAAGCAAATACCATTTGTTAGGGTAATGCAGTAGTATGGTTCTACTCAGTTTGGGAGAAACCAAATAATTGATTTCGCTGATTGTGTATTGCAAATGCCATTACGTGATTTAAATTATTTTGAAGTTATTTCCTTTCGTATCGGCCAGAGCGTCCTTTATTGATATTAGATTTTATTTTAGAAATTTTGTTATAACTAGACAACTCATCACGTGACATATGATAAGTTAAACTACTTGACCTTATAATAACATTACATATAATATAATAAAAATATATTTAAAATAATTTTTTAATAAAAAATTATTTATAATTATTAACAAATATTATATATAATAACAATTATAAAAAGGGTTATATGTTTAAAATAATTTTTTTAATGATTATTATAAATAAAATTATTGTTATTATTTTGTTATATTTTTAATTCATTTATTTAGTTCATTCGTCTTTTGTTTTTTTCAGCTCTCTTTTTTTCTTCTCACGAATTTTTTCTCTTATTCTTTTTATTCTTCGTCATGATCTGTCTCTCCTCTTCTCTTTTCCGTCCTTAGTTTCAAAGTGTCTTTCTTTCCATCATGATTTCTCTAATATCTCCTCATAGCGAAGAATAACAACAAATAATATTTTAATAAGGAAACTATTCAAATTATGTAAGGAAAACTTTCGTTAGACAAGACATTATTATACTTATAAGAGGTAGTGAATAAACTAAAGAATGTTCTGCTAAACATGTATTATGTATTATGTGTGGACATCAAAACCTTTATTAATGTCAACATCGTGCTAGAAGAGTAACAATGAAGATATATTGAAAATTTATAAATCTATTGTGGCATAACAACATTAAAAAAAATCATTTTTATAAAATACAATTATAATTATATTACAGATGCCACAATATTATTAACTATTATAACGGAGTAAAATCATTATCAATTTCTTAATTTTCATAAGTTCAATGATTTTAAAATTATCATTATATATGTATTTAATCATCAAAACAATTATAAACTTAATTACAATTTTAGAAATAATAGAAAATAAAAGTTAAATTTAGTAAAAGAGAAAAGTTGAATGCACATGAAACTCTATCTATTACTTAAATCAATTCAAAAAATAAAAATAAAAAACCTAACTGAGATTGTATGTAAGTGACAATTTTAACTGTTGTAACTTATACGTTATATTTCTGGAAGGCAGGTTATGATCATAGTTTTAATCATGTAAAAAAAATAAAAATAAAAATAAATAATAATAATAAATATTAATAGAAAACATGAGTATACCTAACTATTTATGATGTAAAAAATAAAAATGAAAAATCTTAACAGAAACTAAACATAAATAGTGATTATTTTTAATAAACAGTTAATTTTGCTTGCCAATTTTCCTTTAATAAAGTACAAATAACTTTAGGAATACAAGCCAACTTATCAAGATATTGAGAATTAAAAACAAAGATAAAATTATTGAAAATTTGGAAATAGCTATAGGCTCATGCTTTTGGCATGTTTACTTATCTTTCTCTTTCTCTCCTTCCTAATGCATTCAATTGCAACGGTTTTGAATGGTTTTGAAGACAAGTTGGATCCCACTTTTTTTCTTTTTCTTCTTTTTTCATGCTAATTTAACATTACTTAGATGAAGATTACGAAGGGTGATATTCGGTGATATGCAATTAAACATGAGGGTGACAATTCAAAGGGATAAAGAATCCAACTTTGTGTCTTGACCTTATCTACTACCAAACAATTCTCTACCATTTTTTATCGACACTCAAACTTAGATAAAATAACTAAGAAACCCGTTTATTTTAAAATTTTCTTAGTTTTACCAATTCAAATAATGCCATACAGTTTTTTAGAATTTAAATATCAATTTACTTTTCGAATGTTTTTTTAAAATGTTTATTTTAAAAAGTTTTTTTTACAGTAATTGCTTACTTTTCGAATTCCGTTTCCAATCCATAATGAAAAAAGGATCCTAGACCAAGGTCTCGGAACTACTTTTCATCAATGTTTTGTTTTTAAATTACAATGTGAAATGAAACAAACAATAGGGCAAGAAAATTTCATTCCAATTCAGTGTTTTTACACAGTTTTTGCCCCTAAAATTTAAATGGAAAAGGAAAGAAATCCCTTTGTTTTTCAGTGCACGTTTAATTTGACTTATTTTTATTCGAAGAAAAAATATATAAATAATATTTCAAGTTCCCGGGAAATTTGTAAAATATTATCTCATTTAACCATGTCTAAACACACCGAATGTTTATCCAAAAATATTGTGTTTCAAAATCACATCATTCACATATGATCACAAGGAAACTCGTAAACAAGACATTGTGGATAACTAATCTAGCAACAGCAACAAATATTAAAACAGTCAAAACTAAATACATAGAATTACTCTTCCATGGCAGGAGTCTCCTCAGATTGCTGTTGAGAAACCTTGACCTTGATCTTTGGTAAAGTGAGAGAAGGATCCTGTTGAAGCACTGATGGAGCTTTAACCAAACTGATGCCCTGCTCCAGCTCTTTCACTGCCTCCTTCAGCAGCTTTTCCTTGTTGCCTTTCATCCTATTTAAGTTTTTATACTATGTCAGTAAAAGGCCAAAAAAAACTTTGTAAAGCTTTCCAATGTATAAAGAGAGAAGGATTCAAAGAGGACCTATTCTTGTGGTGTCTCTCCTCCCTGGTGACCCTGATCTTATCAATCTTAGGAATAGCCTTCAATACACTCTCCGCAAGATTCCTGTCATATCTTTCAGGCCTGTTTCTCTTTCTCTCAAACTCAAAGGTCGAGTCCTAAAACACAAAATGATAACGGTTAAGTTTACCCAGATCGAGGCAATTAAATTAAGTGGTATCTAATACCCAAATAATTACCTGTGTCATATCCTTTCCATGTACTCGCCGGTATGCCTTGGTCCATTTTACCTTGCGAGGATTTCTCTTCATTTTGAAGTTTTTGTGGCATTTAGACCTACAAAACCGAAAAATCTGCAAAACAATAACTGTTAATCTCATCTGATTTAACAAGAACAGTCTATAAGATATGAAATACTGTTGCACAGGAGTGATCTTCATTTTACCTTTGCGTCATTGCGAACAAACTGGATTCCATGTCCAGGGTATACGGTTGAAGAGCAAAACCAACACTTCTCCAATCTCATTGCGCCTCAGAATAGAGCAACACTTCACTAGAAAAAGAAAAGTCCAGCACCAAACAATGATAAGTTATAAAATACCTCCGTAAGACATGTTGAGATATATATTGTAATCTCCTACTAATATCACAAAAAAGTATCACAAGCAGAAATTTCATCAGTTAAATACCCTGGGAGAAGGAGCCAATAAAATATCAATAAATGCAACAGAATCAACATATAATAAATTCCTACCATATGCATCAAATGCACTGTTAATCGATAAACAAACAATACCCAATAAACCCTAAACCCTAAACCAATCCCATGAACTGCCAAATCACACTATTCCGTTAAAAAGCACAGAAAATTGAGGGCACCAAAAAAGTATTGTTCTTCGTTTCAAGTGGGTCCTAGAGAAAAAAATATCCACTTTACTACGGCATAACTATATTCCTGTCATTCTACAAAGCATCATCCTAATACAATTCGAACATTATAAAATAGAATACCATCTAAGAAGATCGACAGCATCGTTCTATATATTTACCCTAACAATAATATAGACGTAATTGGAATTGAAATATCAAAGTTGAGGCTATGGCTTTGGACTTACATGCTGCTATGGTTACCCTCCGACACGTCTTGCGGTGGCGGTGAATTCTAAACAGATGACCTAAAAAGCCCTACTTCTAAACAGAAGAAACTAAAGAGGCTTAATACCTTATAAGCTGTGGTGGAGACAGGGCATCCGCGATTTGGACCGCGGCAAGGTGGAAGCGAACAGGGCAAGCTGTGGGGCTCGCGGTAAGCTAGGCTTGTTCGAGGGATAGGTGGCTCGCGGTGGGGCTTGGGTGGCGCGCGCGGTGGGGACAAGGGAAGAGGAAGTGGTGGTTTGGTTCGGGGGGGGGTTCCGGTGAAGGATTGAAGCTGGGTGTGCCGCGAATCCGAGGATTGCGCGGCAGCCTGGGAGGTGATTTGGGTGTTTGGCTCTAATTAGCCGCGGTGGATTGGCCGATGAGGGTGTTGGGCGAGGGCGAGCGAGGGAGATTCGGTGAGGCTTGGTGTGGGAGATGGTTTGAAGCGCGGTGGTTTTGGGCGGCGTGGTGGTGGCTGGAGCGCGGCGGTTCTAGTGAGGGGGGAAGTGGCTGGTGAAGCGGCGATGGAGGATGAAAGTGGAGGAGCCAAGAGGATGAAAGTACCAAACGGAATAAAAATGGAGAACCAAGAGAGGGGAGTTACCTCAAACGCGTGACCTTTTTTCCTTCTCCAGATTTGCGCCCCTCCTTTTGTGCGGCTCCCGTCCAATGTTCACTACTAACCCAATTTAAATTCGATTCGATTTTTAGGTTAAGATGGGGCAACCCAACCACAAAATAGTTTGGCCAAAAAATAATAACAATAATAATTAAAATATAATTAAAGATAACAAAAACATTTTTAAGTTGCATTTTTTTATTTTTTTCTCTTTTTTACAAAAAAATGTTAAATGTTAATAAAAAAAGGATTTTTTATGTTATTTTTTTAATCGATAAACAAATAGCACCCAATAAAACCAATCCCGTGAACTGCCAAATCACATTATTCCGTTAAAAAGCACAGAAATTTGAGGGCACCAATAGCACAGTATTGCTCTTCGTTTCAAGTGGATACCAGAGAAAATAATATCCACGTTACTACGGCATAACTATATCCCTGTCATTCTACAAAGCATCGTCCCAATCTAAATTATAACATTCGAACATTATAAAACAAAATACCATCTAAGAAGATGTATATAACATCGTTCTATATATTTGCCCTGATGCGATTGGAATTGAAATATCAAAGTTCAAGTTATGGCTTTGAACTTACATGATTACTGCTATGATTGACACGCCTCGCGGTGGATGCTAAACAGGTGAACTAAAAAGCCCTAATTCTAAACAGAAGAAACTAAAGAGGCTTATACCTTATAAATTCATAAATGAAAGGCTTGGAGAATTTGGACCAAAAAATTGTAAGGAAAAAAAAAAGACCAAATAATGTTTTTGGTTTTGTATTTCTTCGATTATATCACCTCCGTTTTTGTTGTCTGTCACTTCCTAAAAATAAATATTTCCAATAAAACTTGATTTTTTTTAATTCAATTATATCTTTATCAGAAAAGAGAGAAAAATAATAATATATCAAATATCATTATTTGTATTTCTTATTGTGTCAATAATTTTTAACGATAAAAAACAAAAGTAAATTCTAGTCATGTGTAACAGTAATTTTGGGCAAAGCAATTTTAAAAGACTACTAAAATGTCAGTAATATTAGCCAGTACATAATTTCTAAAATGTTGATTTTTTTTTATACTTATTGTATTTCATAAAAAAAAGTATGTTTTGATGGTTATATTTTTTTTTTTAAATCTGTCTTTCGTCTTGTATTGTTAATATGATGAATTCAATTTTTTTAATTATTGTAAATATATAATTTTAATATTTGGTAATTTTTATATCAAAATTCAATATTTAGTAATTATTTTATCATTATAAAATTCATAAATATATATATATATATACATATATAATTTTAATATTTTTATATTTAAATTTAAGAATAATTTTTTTATCGCTGCAAAATGAATAAAAAAGATTAAAATCAAATAATTTTAAGGCTTAAATATTGATTAGTCAAATTTTAAAATATAAAAAATCTAAAATCATTAACACCCTAATATGACTATAAAATTTTCTAAAATCTAAATAAAATTCACAAATAAAAAACAAAAATATATTTAACCTTAAAATAAGTTATGGATCACAAATTAAATTTTCTAAAATCATTAACACCCTAATATTTGTAAAAGTGTCATCAATGATTTAAGTTTTACTATTTATCAACGCCATTATTGTTTACCACTTGTTCCTAAAATTTTCAGTTTTGTAAGAATCCTAAATTACGTGTCACTCAAGAACCTTATCCCTGTAATTTAAGTCACCGTAAACCCTAATTTTCTGCACGAGTTGGTAAAGCATCTTGAAAAAGCACAAATAAGAGCTAGGGAAGCTAAAGTTTCCATTTTCCACACACCAGTTAACCAGAATCAAAACCCAAATATTAGGTAAGGATTTGAAGCAAACAAAGTTGGGGAATACAACATAAATTTTGGTTCTTTTACCTTTTATTTGTATGGTTCTAACTTTTTACCCTTTTTGTGATAACCAGAAACATGAAAATGCCAGTGGGGAACCATGAATAAATGTTGGCCCACAAACTATGATTAAAATGTTGGCCCACCAACTCCTACTCCGTATACATCTATGATTAAAATCACTGCACTAGCTAGACAAAGGATTTTTCCTAAAAAATTTCATTTATTTATTATTTAATTTCATGGATAATAAAATATATAATATCATTGTAATGGAGAGGAACTACTTTTTTTAATTAGTGCTCCTGCTCTGTTTGTTGTTGCAGTTGGGAAAGAAAGACATTTCAATATGAATCATTACAAGTCAATGATTATTAAAGAATAATTATACACAATCTTGTAATACTTTCTTAATATTCTTCATAATTGTTTAATGAAGAAAGTGTTGTTGAATGTTTCTATCTTTCGAAAATACTGAATGTATTTATTTATTTTCAATAAATATTTTCTTTATAATATACTGAGAGAATTGTTAAGAAGAAAATATAGAGTTGCTCGTTTATAAAGCTTTGGCCAAGAGTTCTAAATTTTTTATTTTTGGTTAAAACAATCTTTATCAAAATTAAATATTGAATTTGTAATGCTCTCACATTATGACTTTATCCTAACAAGCAAGTGAGAACTAAATTACTTCATCTTAATCTTCCATTTATTTGTAAGTAGTCAAAGTTTGACATTCCCATCTCATCTATTAAATCATAAAATAAAAATAAAAATGGGTGTTTAGAACAACTTGGCATAATTACTATAATATCATAGATGAGGCTCAACTGAAAATGTCACGAGAAATTTACAAAATCAAGAGAGAAGTAAAAGAATATATAGAAGTGTTAAATAATCCATTCTTTTATAATTTATCCTAGTATACACATCTAATTAAAGATGACATAGGTTTGCAAACCGACCCGATAACATAAATAATTAATTATAGTTAAATATTTTAATATATAAATAAAGTAAATTTTAATATTTATCTAATAAAAATATTAATTAATAAATTACAATTTAAAAATTATTTATATAATTAAAGATATATTGTTTAAAAATTTATATAAAATATATATATATATATATATATATATATATATATATATATATATATATATATATATATATATATATATATATATATATATATATATATATATATATGGGTGGATTGATATGTAAAAACCGTCAGACTCAGGTTTATAACATGTTAAACTCTTCTTTTAAGATTAGAGATGCAATGGTCCATTTTGCCATATTTATATCTAATCGATCAAGAATTCAACATAAAAACTTAGAGTTTCTACATCCTAATCTTAATATTATGGATAGTCTGAGTGTGATCAATTCATTTCCTGAAATAATTCCTAACATTAATATATATAAAAAAATAAATAAGTTGGGATTTATCGAAGAATGTAATGAGATAAAGAGTGGAAATAAATGAGGAATGGAAGGAGAAGGAGGAATTTGTCACACGGATTATGAACCAGGGCACCAAGTACATCATTGCATTGGTTTGTGTATTTGAGGTACAAGTGTGAAGCAATAAGTATTGTATTGGATTTATGGATCCCATGGTCAGGTCCTGGAGCATACCCAGCGTTCTTGTTAAAGATCAACTCTATATTTAATACACCCTTGTACTATAGATATAGGAACTATACTTTAGCCGTCTCTGCACTATTTCCACGTGGCCACGGGTCACTCTCCTCAAATTCTAAAGGTTCATAAGGCTACACTTTTAAGGTAAGTGCATCACGTCAACTGCCCTTTATTCATTCATTCTTGAGCGTCGGAGTAGTTTTTAGGGACACCGGCTACACTCTTCAAAAATGCAACACGCATAAGAATGAGGACACGAACCGGCTACACTCTTCAAAAAGGCAACACGCATAAGAACGAGGACGCGGATTTATGGCACTCATCTGAACGTGAAGCCAGGTTACCATCCCGACAGGTGGTTGTCGGCCTTACAGGAACATCCCTTGCTATCAACCAAAAATTATAGATTACTCATCTTAAACATCAATAAATTAGTTGGTAAATCCGAATTTAGTAAAATTTTGGATTCAGACTTTACCGATAGAAAGAAAAATACTGTAGAACAAAATTAATAATAATTTCGATAAATGTTTTACTTTAATATAATTATAAAAAATATAAAATAATATATATATATATATATATTAATTTTAATTTATAACTTGATTTAAAAGATTTAACAACTAAAGTAGAAAAAAATAACAACCTATCATCACGATTTTACATGAATTGTTATTAAAAAATATTGATAATTCAAAAATGTTAAGGAGGATTTTTTTATAATTATTATTATATATTTAAAATAATAATTTTTTAATTTAAATTATTTATAATTATTATCATATATCACAATAATAAAAAAGAAAATCGTTTTGTTGTAGGTTTAGAATTAAAAAATTTTAATGACAATTATAACTAAAATCCTTATATTTTTTTTATTCATTTTTTTTGTTCATTTTTTTTTTATTTTTGCATCTCTTTTTTTTTTTATATTTTTTTCTCCTTACTTTTTCTCCTATTTTTTTCTCTTCTCCCTCTTCCTTATTTCAAAGTGTCTTTTTCTCCATTCTAAATTCTTCCAACATCTTCAAGATTCTCGGGAGAATCATAATGATAAATGAGATTTAAACAAAAAAACAATTCAAATTACATTAGAAAATATTTTATTGTATGAATCGTTATTATACTCGTAGGATGATACAAACCAACCAGTGGACCCAGACCCAATAAGGAAGGATGACCCAATAGTAAGGAAACGAGCAAGAAAGAAGCCAGCGTGGATGATTGATTATGTCTGCGGACAAAATTAGAAGATCCTGATATGCTCAAATTATGTCCTGAAATTTCTGCTGCAAATTATTAGTTTAATTCCTGTTTTATTTCCCTAATTTTTGCTTGATTGTTAGCACCCAATTCCTTTTAATAGCTATGATGTAATCAAAACAGAACAGAATAAAAGTTTTTAAGATCCTTTTTCCCCAAATTCTATTATTCTCTTTCCCTTAATTTTCTGAGGAGTGAACACTCACTCGAAGAGTGTTAAAATCTTTGAGCATTCTGCAGCAGAGTGTATCATTGGTGCTTTCATCATGGACACAACTGAGCTTATGAGCGCCCTTCAATCCAATATTGATGCACAGATGGTAAAGTTTCGCGAATTACTCGAGTTCCATACCGAGTCAGTTCATTCCACACTCCACCAACACCTGGTAGAAGTTGATTCGAAGGTCGCAAACTTACACGTCGAAGACAAAAAACAACCACAGAATGCATTTGCCGGGTAGACGTCATGTGCGCTTAAATTAAACGTACCACGTTTTGATGGTTCCAATCTCTTGGATTGGATTTTCCAGATTGAAGCTTTCTTCAACTTCCACGAAACTCCGGAAGAGTCCCGACTTCAGATCGTAGACTTTCATCTTGACGGACGCGCTGCTAGCTGGTTCCAATGGGCAACCGTAACAATTTGTTACTATCGTGGCCAATTTTTCTTACTGTTGTTCGCCACCGCTTCGGTCCAACTCAGTACGAAGACATTGAAGGTGAACTCTCCAAATTAACTCAAACCGGCTCTGTAGCTAATTTTCAAGCCCAGTTTGAAGAATTGATGAACAAGGTCAACGGTATCTCTGAATCACTACTGATCAGTTTTTTCATTACGGGACTGAAAAAGCATTTGAGACGGGAATTGCAATTTCACCGACCTGCTACGTTAATGGAAACCTTCGCCATGGCCAGAGCATATGAGGCTCGTTTTGATGACACACCAACCATAGGCAAATTGTGGTCTCGCGGACCACAACACTCCACAGGCTCACATACCCAACCTAACCACAATCAAACAAACCGATCCAATTCAAATCCAAATAACCCATCAAACAATACTGCAACATCGTTACCACCACTCTTACCCACACCACACTCAAACCCTGCCGTGCGGAACATGCCCTCTGCCAAACTCCGAGACCGCCGTTCAAAAGGTCTCTGTTTTAAATGTGATGAGAAATGGAACCCATCTCACCGATGCCAAAACTGCGTGCTTATCCTCATGGGAGAGGATGAAGAGGAACCCCCACCGGAATCCGAGGATAACTCAATAGATGATGTCTCGGGTGACATATCCAGCCTTCACTCCTTGTCCAGCCAGCTCCAAAGTCGATCCTTGCGTGTTTCCGGCCTTTATAACCAAACAAAATTCACCATCCTCATTGACAGCGGGAGCACTCACAACTTTATCAAGTCTGCGTTAGTGGAACGATTGGGGTTACCTATCAAACCATGCCCTCGTTTCAAGATCGCAACTGGTTGTGGAACTTTCTTGGTTTGTCAATTTTGCTGCCATAATGTCCCTCTTATCTTACAGGACATTAAATTCGAGGTGGATTTGTTTATCCTGAACATTGAAGGTCCCGATGTTGTGTTGGGCTTTCCTTGGTTGCAATCTTTGGGCAAAGTTGCTCATGATTATTCGGCTCTCACTATGGAGTTCATGTGGCAAGGGACCCAAGTTACTTTAGTAGGTGATGCCTCTCTAGCCTCACAATCGGTGTCACCGCATCGGCTTCAAGCATTGGTTCACACCAATAATGTGGCCGAGTGTTTTTACCATCACGACGTCCCTTCAAGACGTTGATTCTCTCCCAGAACCATCCAACAATTTTCCATCCAACCTACCCGAGCCCGATTCATCGACTATTACAACGTTTTAAGTCCATTTTTTCTACACCCACAGAATTGCCTCCTCACAGAACGGTTGACCATCACATCCATCTTGTTGAAGGATCCAAGCCAGTCAATGTGAGGCCCTATCGATATCCTCAATTTCAAAAATCTGAAATGGAGAAGTTGATCCGAGAAATGCTTGATCAAGGCATCGTCGTCCCTAACCACAGTCCATTTTCTTCACCCAAAGAAGAAAGATGGTACATGGAGATTTTGTGTGGATTATAGATCGTTAAATTCTGTTACAGTTAAGGATAAATTTCCAATTCCAACCATTGATGAACTTTTGGATGAGTTGGGTGGCGCAAGAATATTTACAAAACTGGACTTGCGTGCAGGGTACCATCAAATTTGGGTTCATCCGAGTGACACTTATAAAACGGCGTTCCGCACACATGAGGGCCATTTTGAATTTCTTGTAATGCCGTTTGGACTTACTAATGCACCATCAACATTCCAAGCCGCAATGAACCAATTGTTTTCTCAATACTTACGAAGGTTTGTGATTGTTTTTTTTTATGACATACTGATATATAGTGCTTATCACCCTCAAACTGACGGTCAAACCGAGGTAGTTAACCGTGGGTTGGAACAATATCTTCGTGCCTTCACTCAACATAAACCGTCTTCATGGGTTGCATTCCTCCCGTGGGCCGAATTTCATTGTAACACCAGCTACCATAGTGCCTTGCAAATGTCCCCTTTCGAGGCTCTTTATGGTCGAAGACCACCCACCATTCCGACATATACTAGGGGATCCACTTCTATACAAGTATTGGATGAGGCCCTAACTTCTCGTGACGAATTACTCCGCACTTTAAAGACAAATTTAACTGCTGCTCAACATAGAATGCGTCAGAAGGCCAATGCACATCGTCGAGACATTACTCTCGCTGTTGGTGATTTGGTTCTCGTACGCCTCAAACCGTATCGCCAAACATCAGTCCGTCAATTGAAACACCACAAGCTCTCGAAGAGGTTCTATGGTCCTTATAGCATCATCGAGCACATTGGGACAGTGGCATACAAACTCCAACTTCCTCCTGGTAGTCGCATTCACCCGGTTTTTCATGTGTCAGCTCTTAAACCTTTTCGTGGTACTGATAAGATGTCTGCATGTGACTTACCCTTGGAAAAATTTGATAACCAACCTATTGATCAACCAAGGACAATTTTAGATTGGCGAACTCAGTTAGTTCACGGGCAACCACAGGAACAACTCTTGGTGCATTGGGAGGGTTGTCCAGTTGATGAAGCTTCCTGGGAAGACTTGGAAAATTTCTGCACTTGTTATCCTGATTTTCACCTTGAGGACAAGGTGAGTTCTGCAGAAGGGAAAAATGATACAAACCAACCAGTGGACCCAGACCCAATAAGGAAGGATGACCCAATAGTAAGGAAACGAGCAAGAAAGAAGCCAGCGTGGATGACTGATAATTTATGCGGACAAAATTAGAAGATCCTGATATGCTCAAATTATGTCTGCGGACAAAATTAGAAGATCATGATATGCTCAAATTAATTCCTGAAATTTCTGCTACAAATTATTAGTTTAATTCCTGTTTTATTTCCCAAATTTTTGCTTGATTGTTAGCACCCAATTCCTTTTAATAGCTATGATGTAATCAAAACAGAACAGAATAAAAGTTTTTAAGATCCTTTTTCCCCAAATTCTATTATTCTCTTTCCCTGAATTTTCTGAGGAGTGAATACTGTGTTAAAACCTTTGAGCATTCTGCAGCAGAGTATATCATAGGAGGTAAGGAATATACTAAAGAATATTTCATTAAACTTATGTTATCTTTAGATATCCAAACCTTCATCAATGTTGATATTTGAGTTGAAAGAACAACCATAAAGAAACAATAAAAACTATTAATCTATTTCAGCAAAACAATGTCAAAGATTATAACAAAAACTCAAATGTTGGATTTAGTGCTTATCATTAAAACAAAAGTTATAGTGAATAGTTATGATGCAATTTTTTCTACTAATGAGTGTAAGTAAGAGTTCAAGTATGATGATTGAATTGTTATTTGGTCTATCTAGTTTATGTCACAAGATAATTGATGCATTCCGCAACATCAAATTCATTATTAATTTCTTAAATTTTAATTATGATAGTAATAATAACGATTTTAAAATTATCATTATATATTTTTTTAACAATCAAAACCATTATAAACTTAATTGGACTTTTAGAAATAATAGTAAATAAAAAATAATTTTGGTAAAAGAAAAAGGTTGAATAGCCATGAAATTCTATGTATCAGTTAAATAAATAAATAAATTGAGATCCTAGTGACAATTTTAAGCTGTTGTAGCTTATGCATTATGTAAGTGAAAAAAAATTAGTAATAAGTATTAATAGAACTATACAGAGAGAGACAAAAAGTGTTGATATATATCATTACTTTGATGAAACATAAGTAAACCTAACTATTTATGATTTAGAAAATAAAAATGAAAAATCATAATAGAAACTAAACATAAATAGTGATTTTTTTCATGAATAATTAATTTTTCTTTTCAACTGTCCTTTCATAAAGTATAACTATATTTCTTTGCTTAGTTAATTAGGAGCATCTATATCCTGTGTTAAAAATACAAGTTAACTTATAAAGATTTTGATAATTGAAAGCACAAAATAACTACACCTTATCCTAATAGGCTCGTGCTTTTACAAGTTCAAACGGTGATATCATTACATAGTACCAAACAAAGAAATCAACTTTGTGTCTTGGCCTTATGTAGTACTAAACAATTCTCTTCACAAAACACTACTACAAAATATACTTTCTACGTCGGTTCCCAGATGAACCGACGTTGAAAGTTGAATATTAAACACATTCTACGTCGGTTCTTAGTCAACCGACGTAGAAAGTACTTTCTACGTCGGTTCCCATATAAACCGACGTTGAAAGTCTTTTTTTTTAACCCAAAAACTAACTTAAATTTCAAAATTGTCATTGGCAAGATTCGAACCCAATACTTTAGAGTTGGAGACTAATACTCTAACCACTAAGCTACTAGAATTTTCTAATAATAACTTACAAATAAATTATATTTATATACAAATAAATATATATCCATGTAAATATATATTTATTTGTATATATTTTCTGGAAAGTATTTTTATTTTTATTTTCAGCCAAAAATTCTCTTAAGTTAATGAATTGTCACTGATAGCATTTGAACCCGAGTATTTTAGGGTTGAAAGTTAATATCCCAACCACTAAACTACTATAATTTTTTGATAATAACTTACAAATAAATTATATTGGTATTTTTCGATCGAGGGTGAAAGTGTGATTGACTCTTGCTTGAGTGAAAATATGTTAAAGCTCACGGAAATTCACTTACTCAAGTCTTGCTTGAGCGAAAATTGGTATTTTTCGCTTGAGAGCAAATAACGCGTTTCCCAAATTTATTTTATATCATTATATAAATAAAATTATAAAGATTATATTTTATCATTAAATTACAAACTCATATAAAGATACCTGCTCACAAATTTAGCATCAAATTTTGAAAACCCACTCGACACACACTTTCACTTTCGAGTGTGCCCTCACATCCAACATATAAATATATAACTATATAAATATATCAAAATATATAAATATATTTGTATTTATATATTTATATATTTACACGGATATATATTTATTTGTATATAAATATAATTTATTTGTAAGTTATTATCGAGAAAATTCTAGTAGTTTAGTGGTTGGAGTATCGGCCTCCAACTTTAAAGTACTTGGGTTTGAATCCTGCCAATGACAATTCTCTTAAAAAATAAATAAACTTCTAAAAAATATAATATAAAGAGAGGGGAGACTTCTAGATAAATAAAAGGGGGTAAAGGGGTTGTAAATAAATAAAAATTATTAATTTAAAAAATCATACTTTCAACGTTGGTTTATTAGAACCGACGTTGAAAGCTTTATTTGAGAGATTGAGGGGTCCCTATAATGGTGGCACCTTGGGAGCATGACTTCGGTGAGAACAATTTAGAACCGCCTTAACCATGCAACTTTTTGTAGAAAAACCCTACCTCGTGATTAAACATCATCGCTCTGTTCGCGGATGAGTGAATTGTGTGTGAATTTGGTTGTTGCATTTGTTTGATGCATTTGCATAGATAATCATACAACAATTAAAATAAAAAAATTCTTAAAAATATAAAAATAAAATAAGAATAAATCAACCTTATCTCGGACAGTCTTCATTTAAGCTAGCCTAGTTTCAGGTTCTTTGTAAGCTAAGTAGTCACGTTGACCAACATAAGTAATAAAGAGTTGTAAAATAATTTAAAAAAAAAACAAATTTTAAAACAACAAAAATAATTTTTACAAAAAAATATTTTTACAAAGTCGTGTCATTCATACCGCATCATCTAATAAGTTGTAAAACTACGAGAGAAAATAAATGCATTAAGGAAAGTATGCATAAACATCATTATAATAAAATCTCTCATACATAAACACATTCATTCTAGGGGGCACTAGATATCCTTAGACAAAAGCAAAAGAGACTCAAGTGCGTTTAAAACCTTCCTGGAAGGGACAAGTGCGCTAAGGTATGTTGGTAACCTTCGTAAAAAGGGAACCATCACACCAAGGTGGGTATGGTACTCCTTAAGCGTTAGCTTTTAAGAAGATACCAAAGCTATTGTCTAAGACATATCTATCCCACACTAATCATTCATAATAAAAAGCTATAACAAAATATTTAAATCATTTAGAAAGTGGCTAGTCTTCTATCTGTCATCACTCGCGCTCAAAAGGCTAGAAAGATGGAACAGCTTGAAGAGCAGAATCGCAAGCTCACCGCTGAGCTTAACTCCATTAAAGAACAAATGGCACAGTTAATGGAATTAATGCGTCAACATGATTTACACAAGGAGAGCCCTCACAGTAACCACACCTCACATCATGAGGAAAAGGAGGAGCTCATGTACAGCCCGAAGTGAGGGCAGTAATCATCCATCCTCCTGAAGTTTCCAAGCAACAGATTTTGCCCTCGAAGAGAGGTTAAGGGCTATAAAGGGACATAATTTTGATGTTAAAAAGGCAGCCGACATGTGTCTCATTAAGAATATCCAATTTGCCCTCAAATTCAAGGTCTGAGATTTTCCTAAGTACATGGGAATGACTTGTCCCAAGAGTCATCTTACAATGTACTGCCGTAACATGGCTGCGTATGCTGATAATGAGAAACTCCTGATCCACTACTGTTAGGAGAGCTTGGCCGATTTGGCCTTGAGCTAGTATATGCAATTGGAAGGGGGACAAGTCCAAATCTGGAGACAACTGACAGATGCCTTCCTTCGTCGTTACAAGTACAACATCAATCTGACTCCAAATAGGTCAAATATACAAACTCTGTATAAGAGAAACGACGAACCCTTCAAGGCATATGCTCAGCGTTGGAGGGAGTTGGCTGCCCAAGTGGAGCCTCCGCTAACAGATAAGGAAACCATATCCCTGTTTATCAATTCGTTGACAGGTCCCTATTATGATAAGATGATAGGGATCACGTCGACTCTTTTTGCGGATGTGGTAACCATTAGCGAGAGAGTAGAGCAAGGACTGAAGAGTGGAAGGATTGCACAACCTTCCTCATCCAATGCCCCATTCAAGAAGTTTTTTAGCAAGAAGGAGGAGGGAAGCGTGAATTTCGTCAACCTTGCTACTCCTTCTTTCTCTTCAAGACCAGCTAGGCAGTCGAAGAATCAAGAGAGAAAATATACTCCCCTTCCAACCTCCTATGGGAGTCTGCTGACAAAGCTGGTAGAGGCTAACCTCCTAGCACGTGTCCTTCTGAAGAAGATGGATCCACCCTAACCTGATTGATACAAGCCGAATGAGGAATGTGATTACCATTCAGGCACTTCGGGGCATTCCGTGGAAATTGTATGACCTTGAAGTATAAGGTCCAAAAGTTGTTGGATGCCGAGTGGATCACGTTTGACGCTCCCAATGATGATACCATGTCTCTATCACAACCAGAATAGTGGGGTTGGATAAGAGACGGCCAATTGATTAGGGCTCCTTATTTAAAAAAATAAAATAAAATAATATAAATAAATAAAAAATATAAAAAAATTTCAGATGTATCTCTTGCAGTCCCTGCCTGTGGTCGCGAGGTCTTTTTGATTAAAAGGGCTTTGTAAATATTTCTTTTTTCATCAATGCAATGAGGTATTTACATAATATTCATATTCTTTTCATTCTTTTCTCTTTCATTCCTAAATAATTGTCGCCGTCGTAAAAAAGAGGCGGTCGGAGCGACACGATGGTTCTGACTTTCCGTTTTTCGAGTTTTTATGGGTGAGGTTACAATGCCTTTAAGTTGTTCGATAACCGGACTGAACCTAAGGGCGATGTTTTCGAAAGGGCGTCCTTAGGTTGTCCGATAACCGGGCTGACCTAAGGACAAATTTGAAAGGGTTCTTATGGAGACGCCACCGATGTTTTTACTGGAAACATCGAAAAAGGAGAGAAAAGGCGTTGGTTTTTCGAAAACCAACTTTGGTCGTTAAAACCAGAGTTGGGTAAGGGAGTTAGTTACGTGTAAGGGAAGTGTTAGTTCCCTTACGACGCCCCTTTCGAGTTCCCTATGACAAGCCAGTTATTTTATAGATAATCTTTCGAAAAGACGCTTTTACCCTTTTTATTCGTGGAATTAAAATGATGACTACATGACCCTAATAACTATTGCACAATTTAATATAAATAAAAGGACAGTAAAAGAGAGGGAGAGAGTGAAGAAACCTCCGGAGCAAGCTTTTGATTATTTCTCTTGAAAAATAGGGTGCGTTTTGGCAACCCTTCGCTCTTACAACGTCGAAAATCTCTCAAAAACGCTATAAAAAAGCTCTTTTAGACACTCAGAAACTCCGGAAATGCTTCGGAGGGGCTCTAGGAGAAGAATTTTGAGGAATTGTAGAAGGGAAAGTGGAAGAATTGTGTGAAATGAAGGGGGGGGGCGCTCACTATTTATAGGGATTCGCGCCTGTTAGGTCGAGACGACGGTCTTGCCATTCGGGACGGCGGTCTTGACTTGAATTAATGTCGAGATGACGGTCTCGTTTGGCGAGACGGCGGTCTCGACTTGCCAAGTGGCGAGAAGGCCTTCTCGCCAAAAGGGAGGGGGGGGGGGTCTCGGCATTGGCAAGTGGCGAGACGACCGTCTCGCCAAACGAGACGGCAGTCTTGACTTGCCCTTCAGCGAGACGGCGGTCTCAACTCCTGAAGGCGAAAATCATTATTTTTGTACAAAAAAAATCCTTCCTACTCTAATATGGGGCCTAATAGTCTCTCATAATGGTTTTTTAGGCTTCGTCCATCTTCGAATAGGAGGTCTTCTGCTCTTATTTTGAGGCCGGACAAGATTTGGGGTCTACAATAATTAAATAAAACCTAAACCTAAATAGAACCATATAAATAGTCATGTCTATGAATGAGGACTCTCTATGGGATCCGAAAGCCGAAGGCAAATGAATCGGGTCAGATAGTGAGAAGGGGACCATTTCCCCGGGCATGTTAAGCCTGTTGAAAAAAAGAAAAAAAGAAGCTCAATTAATACGACCCTACCAAGAAGAAATCAAGGCCATCGATCTAGGGGCAAGGAAATGATAAAAAAGGAAATAAGTATTGGTACCTAAATCAATGATAATGTCAGGGAAAGATTTGACACAATTATTAAGGGAGTATATGGATGCATGTGCGTGGACCTACCATGACATGCCAAGACTTCAAAATTCAACATCATAAGTCCTCTCCCTATCGACCTAAGATGAATGGTGCAGTAGAGGTAGCCAATAAAAACATTAAGAAGATCATCTGAAAGATGGTCAAAACCTGCAAAGATTGGCATAAAATATCGCCCTTTGCCCTTCATGATTATCAAACTTTTGTATGGACCTCCACAATAGCTACTCTATTATCCTTTGTATATGGCATGGAGGTCGTACTTCCAAAAGAGGTCGAAATACTTTTCCTGTGAATTATCATGGAAGCAAA